TCAAAAGGTCTTTTTTGGTTGTCCTAGCTGTTCCTCACAGTCTCAAATGATCTAAAATGTAGGACTAGAGATTAAATACATAGTAAACAAAAAGTCCATGGTCTTAAGGAAAACAAAGCCCACATTTTTGATTGTGGCTGAGGACCACTGCAAGCCATTGAAGAAAATGTCTGTTGCTTTCTGTTACATGACTAGTCATTTCTTTCTGTGCTACCAGGTTTTTACTTGCCTAGTCATGTAGTGAGAGTGTCTTTAGAGGGAAATTACTAGAATGAGGCCTGGCCTCAAGAACTGGAGACAATCTGGATTCATACTCAGAGGTGTCTGGTAGAAATTTAAGAACTGCACTTGAGGAGCACTGGTTCTTCATTATACAAGTTTTCCCAGGGTGATGTGGACCTGTAATCATTGTTGAGCATGGCTGGTTATAGGTCTTCAGCAGTGCTCATCCTCTCAGGGTATTAACCTGAATTGTGTTAGCTACTGCAGGAGGGACACTCCGGATTATGCCTATTTTGTAGCTGTTGTAAAAAGTGTATGTGCACTCAAAAATATGTGACTTTGCAGGATGGACTGCAAAGTAGTGGTGGAGAGCTGCTCTGCTGCTTTCAGGGCCCATCAGGACCCCTTGTCAGCACAGAAACATCTTGAACATCTGAAGTGAAGTCAGGCTCCTGGTCCTTGTTGCTAATTTATGGGCTTATAAGGCAGGTTCTTGGGTTTCTTTTTTTTTTTTTTTTTTTTTTTTTTCCCTCATTGAAGGCATGCCTAGCCAGGAGAGTCATGGCACTAGGTACTATACAGAGAAGTAGTACTTTGGAGTCTGCTGAGAAAACTTATGGTCTAGTTAGAACTTGCAGGCAAAGACTGAGGGAAGGGAAGAAATGTTCCTCCCTGGCTTTGTTATTAGCTGACCTGATTCCATGATAGAAAACCTTAGTTTCTTAACACTTAAAAGAAAAGTGACCTCAGGGAAGTCACAGAGTCTGATCTTCCAAGCTGGTGCTTGCTGTCATGGCAATGACTACCTGCAAGGCTGCACAGAATTGCACCAGGCCCTCGTGGCTGTCCCAGCACCCACAGGGCTGCTGGTGCTTTCAGAGTGCTCACCTACCCGTTCATGCCAAGCTTCCAGTGCTCCCAGCCTGCTGTTTAGTTTCAGTCCCACTTTTTTTCACCAATAAAGAGCCCCTAACCTCTACTAAACACTTACCCCTCCTATGCAGCTTTGCAGGAGTATGCAATAGCATAGGTTGTTCTTTTCCAAGTCCAGGAGCTTTTATCAGTCAGCCAGAACTGGGTTATTTTAGTGCTCATGGCTTGGTATGTAAGTGCAAAGCCTGTGTGTATGCCAGCAATGTCGCTGGCACGCCTGTCCCAAACATCTGGGGTTTCACCTGGTGCTCTGTACTGAAGGGCTGTGTGTTTTTCACAGTGTGCTGACAACTGTATTCTGTATTTCCAGTTGTGCTGCCTTCAGTATGATTTGCCTTCCTTGTCCAGCAGTTGTTCGTGTCTGCTCCTTGCTTTTTCCCAGCATCTTTAAAATCTGCACATATGCTGATGATTTTGTGTCATTAATATCAATGTAGACAAGTCTGTGTGACCTTTAACTCCCCTGTCCAAAGGGAAGAATTGACCCTTACAGTCAGTCACAGCACAGCACTGACTCATACATACTTTTCATAAAAATAATGAGGAAATTCCCCATAGTTTTTACAGATACTTTTTCAGGAGTTGAAGTGGAAGTCTTCCATAGCAACACAGTTTGGGAAAACTATGAAGCATGTAACAGACAATTAATCTTTTTTCTGACATATGATACACTTTATAATATTATTTTTTTCCCTCTTCTTGTGTCTCACTTGCTCAGACTCAACTGATCTGTTTGAGTTTCATTGGAGCTCATGTGCTTTCCAGTCTTATTCCCACCCTTGTCTGTTCTCCAGCTTCATTGTAAACCTCCTGGGAGGGGGCTGGGATTTGTCCCACCTCCCTGACTCTGCAACGAGGAACACAATAGGACTGTACTTTCTCTTTTTTGCCCTTATTTTAATACACTTTCTGTTTTTTCCTGCATAAGATAAAACATGTTATGTTTAGATATGCAGCACAAAAAACCAAAAAAATATCTCTAAGTTTGAAGTTCTTTTAAAAAAAACTAACTGTAGTTTGGAATGAGTCAGATTACTTCCAGTAAGGTATAATGATAAAACAAAATGACTATGCACCCAAAAGTAATTTCAGGGAATCTGTTTATGACTGACATATGAGTGTCATAAGGAAATACCATTTCTTTACTTTCCTATATTTGATTATTTGTCACTTAAAAAAATTTCCATTTATAATTAAGGCCAGGATAATTCCTCAAGGTCTCAGTATCTGAATATCTTTCCAGTGAATACTTAGAGAACTGCATTTTTTGATCATGCTTGCGGTAGTGGAGCCAAGGCAAGCATTCTTAAAATATGGAGACAACTGAATACTTCTAAATTGTTATTTTTCTTTAAGGCAAAAAAAAAAAAAAACCCAAAAAACAAAAAAAACCAAACATATTTAAAATCTTTAAAATAAATGTAATGAAACAGCTAGACTGCAAGATTTTATCAAGAGTGACTTTGACCCATTAGCTTGGTTGCTTCTCTGCCATCAGGATCTCAAATGCCCTTTTCTCCCTCTTAGAAAAATCTGAAATTTGCTCTCCTTGATAGTGTGATTTAAAGCCAAATATTTTACATTTGAAGAATTAAAGTTATTTTCAATCTTAGAGCAAGATAGAAAATGAAGCAATCTCCAGTCAGATCCTATATATGGGTTGCTGAGATGTATTGTTTTTGTTAATATGGATGCTTTGTGGTGTGCATATTCTAATGACTGAAGTGACTTTTGGCATAAGGAAGACTTATGCAGTGGTGGCAGTTTTTTGTCCCACAGGTATGCTTTTCTTTCCAGTAAATTCCTTAGAGTTAAAGAATATCCGTGGTTTAATATAGAAGGAATCTGACATAGCTCTGAGGAAGCTCAAGTGTTTGTGGAAAGAGCTGTTAATCTTTGATCAACTGGGGTCTCCTTGTTACTGACTTTGATTACACAAGTGTACAACTTTAATTACAGCTTTTAATAAGATTTCATTTCTTCCTAGTCACATTCTTTGTATAGTAGAGCAGCTTATCTTTTCTTTCTCCCCTGCTCCCCTTCCCTTCCCCCCCGCTCCTTTTTATGGAAAAGGGCGTTTGAGGTCATTGCAGGGGATTCAGTGTCCGGAGGGATCCTGCTGTACACACTCTGCCCATGCTGTACCCTCTGCTTGCTTGCACAGACAGAGAGCTCTCTCCTTCAGCTGCCCTCCACATATGCCTGCACTGGCAGCTGCCCAGGAGCTGGTGGTCAGCAGGGGAGGACAGGTCTGAGAGGCACAATGTTCACACAGACATTCACTGCTGCACAAAACCTCTGAAAAACCCTTAGGAAGTCTCTGTAGGCAAAGGATGTTCTGACCTCCCCATCACTGGATAACCTGAGACTTGGGTAAATTGGGTTCTGATCATCAGAATTGAGTAGGGGGAACTTGAGGCGCCTTCCTTGGTATTTGCTGCATTTTTGTTCTTCCCTAAGCCTCTGCTTATGGCCCCTGTCAGCAATAGGATATTGGTCCAGTATAGCCAAGATGAGTTTGACTTCCATGTAAATCATAAGATACAACTGAGGAGTCATTTAAAATATGTGAGTCACAAAAAAGATACAGATGGTAAAACAGAGCAATTTGCCCTGATTTGACACTCAGAGGTGTGCAAAATTTTAAAAGGCCAGTTGTGCCTACAGAAGAAGATAGCGGGGAAAACAACTAATAGAACAGCAAAGGAAGCTCCTTTTATCTCTGTGCATGCATCCCTTTGGCTCACTTGCTATATATGCTATACTCTTTTTGCACACTAATGAATATCAGAGTCAGAGAAAGTTATGCCATCTATCACTCTGCTCCTGTTTTCTAATGAACTTAGCCCTAACAGGTATCTTTCCTAGCTATTCATGTCACGAGTGCACTTCACCTTGACAATAGATCAAGAATGAGTTTCAGCAGTGTGGCCCACCTACTTTGCAATGCTCCAGCATGACAGCTGCTTTGTGTCCTCAGGGTAGCTTTACTTTGATGCTTTTCCCTGTTTAGAAAAATTTGGAGGGAGGATTTTGGTAATCTCCAGCAGGCAGAGTTTTTAAACCTGTCTCAAGGGAAGATGAAGATTCTACAGAATTTTTGAACAAACAGTTATTTATGAAGTAAGTGACATTGTCTTTAGAACTGTTATTCCCACTGGACTCCAGAGAAAAGCAGCATTTGCCATGCTGGATCTGACTGGTCGCTGCTGTAGCCTGCTGCTCCTGGTACCTCAGGCTTCACTGTGGAAAACTGTGGAAGGCTTATGACAAAACATCTAGTCTGACCATTGCAGATATTGCTCTAGTTATTAAGGGGCGTGTTTTCATGCCTCAGAAGTACACAATAAGAGAACTATGGTCTTTGCTCTTATGGGCTCTTTGGCACCAGAAATGCTGGAGCTAGGTTCTTCTAAACTTGGCTGTCTTTCTGTTTGCCTAAAACATACTGCAGTAGCTGCTGTTAGATGGGATTGAAATGACTGGTTTGCTGAATTAGCTGGACAAACTACAGGGGAAGAGAAACGATCAAATGAGTTCACTGTGGTGTACATGGGCCTGACCCAAGGTTATGGGGCAGTGTGATTGCATCATTTGCTCATTCAGTAGCTGCTGCTACTGAAAAGATCTGTGTCTGGTTCCTGACAGCCTGATCTTTTGATGAATTTGACATCACTTTCCGCATGATCTACTTCATCAGTGTCTCATGTCACCAACATTTGCATCTGTTCTGGCAAAGTTTTTCTGTTTGTCCATTTTCGAACCAACCTCACATCCCCCTTTCCTACTCTTGGTGGAGGGGGCAGCGCAATCATTCTCAGTGTGTGCCCTGTCTCTTTTGGCAGCCTCGGGGACCAGTTCTACAAAGAAGCAATTGAGCACTGTCGCAGCTACAACTCTCGGCTCTGTGCCGAGCGCAGTGTCCGCCTTCCCTTCCTGGATTCACAGACTGGGGTGGCTCAGAACAACTGCTACATCTGGATGGAGAAGAGGCACAGGGGACCAGGTTGGTTGTGCTGTGTCTGTGTATGCACGTGCATGTAAGGAGGGCTGGCCTCTGAGCCCTCATGGGGTTTAATTAATAGGAGCTCAAACCTGCTACAGGCCACACAGAAAAGAAACTGCCTAAACCTCTGTGCCTGGAGGGGATTTCCTTTGGTAACTGCAGAGAGCTCATGCTAATTACTCTCTCTCTATGCAAAGAAGTGCCTGACATGGTAGTTTCTAAGGCTGCATCATTGTAGCTCTTTTCATGCTATCAATCCCAGTCTGTAGCAGAAGACTCAATGCTCTGCTCTAAGCAGGACTGGAATTACCTCCAAGGTGGAGGTGGGAGTTTCTCAGATAATGCTGAAAATAAGAAACTATATTAGGAAGGATATAAAACAGAAGTAAAATATAGGAGAGTCCATTAATGTTGTTCTTGAATGTTGTTCTAATGGTTAGAAATATACCTATAAATCCTGATTCTGCTTTGGATAGGTTAACTTGGATATCAGTTCTGGAGATGTGGTTCCCTTGGGTCCAGAAATAAGTTGGTACATTTCCTTAAGGAGATTTGGCTAATGCCTGTTCCACAGCTCAGTGAGCTCAAGGGAAAGAGCACTGGTATTTTTGTAGACTTTGGTCAGTTGTTCCTTTGTTAGACTAAATCCATCTGAAATACATTTTTGCAAGGCAAAGGACAGTCACCAAAGACTGGAGATATTACTCAGACAGAATTCCTTCTGAACCCCAAGGGAAATTTGGCTCTGTTGCAGTTCATTATCTGACCAATAATTAGCCCAGGAAATGGACTTTTAACAGCACCAAAATGTATTTCTACCTTCCCCCCCTCCCCCTCCCCCCCAGTGCAGCCCAGACAATCCAGGCAGAAAGGGACCTGGGGTACATGGGCACTGGAAGTATGACATGCACATATGTGCATAAATATGTTCCAGTTCTCTAAATAATATTGTCACCCTCCCACCTTCATCCCCCACCCCCTCAAATTCTAGATCTGAAATTATGGGAAGGTGAAGCCTGCTCTAATCTCCTCCACTGTCTGGTTTACAGGAGATGAAGTGGGAGGAACACATAGGATATTCCTTTACCCTCCTGGGGCTAAGAAAACAATTGCTGCTTCTGAAAAGTGCCTAGCTGAGTCTTAGCTGAAACTTTCCTCTTCCTCTTTCTAGGATATACTAAAGGAAGGACCTTTGTGCTCCTCCTATTACTAAAATATCAAAAGTAGATTTAGTGTTGTTTTGCAGTACTACCAGAAAACTGTTTATGTAATAAAATGGAGCCACTTCTTGTGCTAGAGACAACATGTCTCTTTACAGCATTAAAAATACCTGAAGAATATTTCAGCTACAAAAACTGCTGGGGTAATTCAGGACTGCTGAATGCGGTTCACAGGATGGGAGTTTTTTTAACTTCTGAACTAACCCTTCTTTGGTAGGGTTGCTTCATAAGCACAGTTGAGTTTTTTGTTTCAGCTGAAAAGTCTCTAATCCTAAGAGATTATGGTTTGCATAAATTCCTTCCCTTCCCTTCCCTTCCCTTCCCTTCCCTTCCCTTCCCTTCCCTTCCCTTCCCTTCCCTTCCCTTCCCTTCCCTTCCTTCCCTTCCTTCCCTTCCCTTCCCTTCCCTTCCCTTCCTTCCCTTCCCTTCCCTCCTTCCCTTCCCTTCCCTTCCTTCCCTTCCTTCCCTTCCCTTCCCTTCCCTTCCCTTCCCTTCCCTCCCTTCCCTTCCCTTCCCTTCCCTTCCTTCCCTTCCCTTCCTTCCCTTCCCTTCCCTTCCTTCCCTTCCCTTCCCTTCCTTCCCTTCCCTTCCCTTCCCTTCCCCTTCCCTTCCCTTCCCCTTCCCTTCCCTTCCTCCCTTCCCTTCCCTTCCCTTCCTTCCCTTCCCTTCCCTTCCCTTCCTTCCCTTCCCTTCCCTTCCCTTCCTTCCCTTCCCTTCCCTTCCTTCCCTTCCTTCCCTTCCCTTCCCTTCCCTTCCCTTCCCTTCCCTTCCCTTCCCTTCCCTTCCCTTCCCTTCCCTTCCCTTCCCTTCCCTTCCCTTCCCTTCCCTTCCCTTCCCTTCCCTTCCCTTCCCTTCCCTTCCCCTTCCTTCCCTTCCCTTCCCTTCCCTTCCCTTCCCTTCCCTTCCCTTCCCTTCCCTTCCCTTCCCTTCCCTTCCCTTCCCTTCCCTTCCCTTCCCTTCCCTTCCCTTCCCTTCCCTTCCCTTCCCTTCCCTTCCCTTCCCTTCCCTTCCCTTCCCTTCCCTTCCCTTCCCTTCCCTTCCCTTCCCTTCCCTTCCCTTCCCTTCCCTTCCCTTCCCTTCCCTTCCCTTCCCTTCCCTTCCCTTTGTTATGAGTAAGGTGTTGCTATTTTTATCCTTCTGAACACAGTCAGAAGATGTATAGATATATATACACACACTCAGGTATACATCCACTGTGTTCATAAGTAATGTTTTCTCAACAGTATCTTCCACAAAGACACAAATAGTCTTGTGTGGGTCTCATTGGCATCTGTACACGTGCAGAAGGAATCATCATAACTGTGTTACAGCATCACACCAGGAACCAAGATGTCTTCATTCTTTGCCTGTCTCAGCCACAAGCTTTGTGGACTACTTTGAGCAAATTCATTCTGTAAATCTTTCCTTCCTCACCTTTGATAGTGGACTGTTTGGCAGCTTGCCCTGCAGAAGGGGATAGCTGACATTTCTTCTGCAGGTCTGCACTGGAGACTAATGGTGGAACATTCTTCACAGAGAGTATCAAGTGAAAGAAGCCTCCTGCATCTGCGTTGGCCCCAAATCTGATGACTTTGTTGTTTTGAATTAGAATAATCAGTGTGAAATGAACCAGTCCTCCTACCCCATATTTGCTTTTCTCTTTCTTGATTTTTATTAGCCCATTTAGTGCTCCCCTGAGTGTCTTTGCGTAATCTGTTTCTTGTAGTATTATGGTGAGTCACAGCATCCCTCTACAGTTTTACCATGCCTGGTTTTGGTCTGTACACAATTTGCTCATGCCCATACTAAAGGGCTCTGAAAATTATCTGCCAGCCATCCCAGTATCTGTCTTGTGTGCTGTGCTCACTACCCTTTACTATCCCTAACCTGAAAAACTAGATAAAGACAAATGGCAAAGCTCCAGGACCTCTTTTCACTTACACAGACTTGAAAAACAGAGATGAGTCAGGAACTCAGCATATTAACCTGAATTCTTGCTGTCCTCTTTGTTAAAGGAGTCAGAAATCTGCATCTCATGATAAACAGTTCAGGGTTAATTTCACACAATACTGCACATAACTCCCTCCTTTCCCCCTCCTCCCCTGGCCTTTCACACGAGCTTTGAGTTATGACTCTCCTACACTAATGAGATAAACAACATAACTCACTGCAGGTTCTGCTATTTCGTCTGTAAGCAAATGGTTGGAACCTTCTCTGGTTGCCCTATAAGGTACCAGAGAGAGAGACAACCCACATAGGGCTGAAGATGGCAATATGCATTATTTCCATATTCACTGCAAGATTGCCTGTGAAGGAGCTACATTCAGAGCATTCAGAACTGACCCTTTCCTTGTTGCCTCTCCTTTGTGTAAGATCTACACTTCATGTGAGCCAGCACAGAGACAGATGAGGAACAGGGTAGAAAAATGAAGATAGCATTGGTGGGTTGAATGAAGTGAAAATCTGGTATGTGTTTTAAGTTCATTGGATGGCAGTATATTAATGAACAGGTGTTCTATGAGCTTACCAGAAGGGTTGCAGAGGTGGATGTTGGATCATCTGTTTCTAATTGATCTACCTGCCACTCTCGAAGGAGGAGGCTCTCCCAACTCTCCTTTCAAGCTTCTAGTTGGGCTTTCAGCTTGTGTATTTGGCTTTTGCTGTCCTGGCTGAATCCAGAACTGCTCTTTTGTATAGGAGCGCTCACATTAGCAGATATTCCCCCAAAAGCAAAGACGATCTTTGCTCCTCTCTGTCTGGGACAAAAGCTGTGGTACTTACTCCTTCAAATGGCTCCTCTGTGGAGGCCTGTGCAATGGAGGGCTGATTCTCTGCCCTATTGCTTTGATCTAGCAATTGCCATTTCAGTGTCATCTTCAAGTCCATGCACAGGACCTGCTGAGAAAGGGTGGGGCTTCTTGCCTCCACCTCTTTAATTACTCACATCAGAGCCAGGCACAGTCTACCTCATCATTATAGCAATTGTTTGCAGTGGTTAATGTTTGCAAAGTGGCATGAAGAAGGGTGTCCAAACACTGTATAAGTGCTAGTTATTCCCATTTTTATTTCCAAACCGGTCTTAGGCAACCTGTTCTGAAATGCATCCTTCTTGGGATGTGCACAATGCCTGGCCTTCCGGCCATCAATGACAGAAGGGCATGAGAACTCCAAGCTGAATAGCATTCTGTGCCCTGAAACAGCCAGAATCTCTGCAGATGCTCATCACTTGGCCATACTCAGGCAGTATGCTGTAGATGCTCCATGGCCTTGGAAGTTGGTGGAAGGTGCTGGGATCTGAACTGACATTCCCAACAGTTGAAATATTTAAAACTAGGAACTTAGGTCTCACCTGCAGAATTTGATTAGCACATTCCCTCAAGGTGAATTATGTTAATGTGTCTTCATCCCCACCCCCATGTAAGAGGATATTGGTTTTTTTTATTATCCTCATTTGGTCTGGTGAGTTGCTTTTGTTCTCAAGCTGATATTCTCTCCTGGCTGCTTCTGAAGAGAGGAGAGAACTCTTGGGCTATCCTCCTGCCCTTGAGCTGTTCTGCTTTACTGGCACCCCCTTGATGCTGTCCAGCTGTTCACTGTCAGTACAGTTTCAGATATAGCAACACCATTCCTGTTCTCTCTCTTATGTGGTCTTACCTGGTTTTTGAGGACAATGAGTCTGGAATTGAAGTCATACTTTGTAGCCCCTTCAAGACAGCAGGAACGGCAGAAGGGCAGGGGAGCCAAACCAGAACTGGTGGACAGAGAGGGCAGGAACAGCAGAGGAGATAATTAAATGCCTCCAACTTTTCTTGCTGGGTATTTGTGTGTGTCATGACTATCTGGGGCAGTTGAGGATACTTTGAAGCACTTGTCAGTGTGCTTCTGTGCCCCTAGTAGCGATGCATTCACAAAGCCCTGCTGTGTCCTGAATGCGAGAGAGAAAAGTACAGCTTGAACACTGGCTGAAGGGTGTCTGTCAGGAGAGCCAGGGCAGCTCAAAACACAGTGATGCCAAATGTGATTTAAGGGAACATACAGTGATATAAGCATTATTGGTGTATCTCCTCCCTCATTCAGAATATTGGCATGAGGAGGTAAGAGTCAAAATGAAGAATTAGTATTCATACAAAAGTCCAGAATGTAAGCAAAAATACGGATTCAGACCTCTTGGATCTTGGTTTGCTCCTGTTTGGAAGACACAAATTTCCTGACCTGCTCTGTGCATCAGGGCCTAAATATTTGCATGTCAGAACTTCATCTCTTCTCTCTCAAGGGGCTTTCTCTGCCTGTGGAGGAGGCATCACCCTTGTGACCCAGGAGAGTCTGAAATTCTATTTACCCTGAAGAAATCACAAATTATTTATGTGCAGCTCTGGTTTCAGTGAGCTGAGTGAAGTGTCTGAGTGAGACGTAGATTCTCTGAAGGCTTGATCCCAAGAGGTGCTGAAGAGCCTCAGGAGCACTGGATGCCAGTGTGTAGCTCTGCCTCATGATTTTCAGGATTGCACCCTCCAACAAGGAGATGCTGGAAGGGCAAGAACAAAGATGCTAGAGACAGTGCTTGTGGTTTTCAAACTGAGATGTGATTAATTTTTTGCCTTTAATCTTCAGGCCTGGCCCCAGGTCAGCTGTACACATACCCAGCACGTTGCTGGCGCAAAAAGAGGCGTTTGCATCCCCCTGAGGATTCCAGGCTGAAGCTGCTGGAAATTAAACCTGGTAAGTATTTGTTTGCCTGCCTCTCCCGAGCTGCAGAGCAGCTGGCATACATGCAAACCTGGCATTTAGACCTTGGACTTTATCTTTGCTGCTTTCCAACCATTTCTCATTGCATCTGTTGCATCTTACTTGATTTGCTGTAACCATAACCACCAAACCCTCTGCATACAACTCATCCCTTACAAAAACCTGAACAACTTGTATTGAATGCAGGGGGAGCTGAATTTACCTTCTGTAGGGTTGAATCCTGGCTTCTATTAGAAAATTAACAAGGATGTAAAGAATCAATGTATTACTGACTTTTTCCTCAGTGCATTACTAATACACAGTCTCACTGGCATCTGCTGCCTAATCTTTGTGAAAGAGAACACTATGTGTGTGAAACAGTAAGTATAAGATAAGATTTTTCTTGGTAGGGCTGGTGGCAAGGAGTATGACCAGATTATGAACAAAAAATAATGAAAAATAGGGAGCATATGCCACATTTGTGTATTTCTGTCTGACTGTATATGTACCTTTGTCTATTATTCTTTCATTCTTCTTGTCCTTGCTACTCTTCCACAATTAAACTATGTGAAGTGATGAATCTGGATGCGGAATGAGGGACTGTAAAGCAGATGTGGAGGAGCTGCAGCTGTGTCAGGTAGAGCGTGGTGTTGTGCATTCTTCCTTGCAGTTAGTAATAAAGGCTCTCTGTCTCTGGGGTCAGCTATTGTGAGAAAGAGGGAACACATATACTCACAGCTGTATGTGGTTTTTAAGAGGTGAGATGCTGTCAGTATAAAAAGTACAGGAGAAAACCCCCAAATGTAAATTAGAATATTAAAAAAGCCTGTTTGACAGAAGAAGGTGCCTGGGAACTGAGCGATGCTCAGCAATACTGATGACTTTGCTTCTACACAGTAGTTGGTGGAGAGAGAGGAAAGAGCAACAGAGACAAGTTCAAAACCCATTAAAATCAGAGGTGAAATTCCTGTTGATTCTGGTATAAACAGTTTTTGAAAACTCTACTTTCAGTATAGGAGGCATCAGTGGAGAGTTGGAAAAGAGGAGGAAATCCCTATAACCACTCAGTTGGGGTTCAAACCAAGGGCAAAATCTCAGCCAGAAAATAGAACTGGACCTCACAGCAGAGCTGCTTAGAAAGAGCTGATGAAATCAGTCATGTACATTGATGAAAATGAGACTGGACTCTAGAGAGAGGATGATGTTGGCTCATAGAAGTGACTACCTTAGACTTTTTGATGATGTCAGTACTGCTGTGCCTTGGTAATTTTGTAAGGTAAGGCAGTAGGGTAGAATTTTTGCTCTTTTTTGTTTGCATTACTCTTCTTTGCTGTACTCACTGAATGCCAAATTAGTACATCCCACATGCCACAGGGCATGAAAGGCAATTACCACAAAGTTATCAGATAAAGAGACCTCAGCATGTCTGTCTCTGTGTTGTTTTCCCTGCTATAAACATCTCCTCTGCATCTCAGAAGTGGTACTTTTGTTGCATTGACGGTGGCAACCAAATAAGGCGAGTTATATTGCTCTGCCATTTAAATCTATTTTCCAACCAATTTCTATCTAGTGATTAACTTTCCTTATCAGTTATACCACAAAACAGTTTCACTCCATCTGTGCATATCCAGAAGAGACTGACTAGCCAAAAGTGGGATTTCCCCCTTCTCTGATCTGAAAGTTGAAAACCTATGGAACACCTTGGACCTCAATTTAAAGGTAGCTTTTGACAATTTGGGAGAAAGAGAGTAGAATTTATTTTCAACATTGACAGCAGACATACTGTAGATTTTGGAGGGGAATAGTATTGTAAAACCTAATGCTGAACCTAGGAAGCTACCTAATGCTGACTTCTCTGTCCTCAGTTAAACATCAGATAGTTGTGTGGGGCAAAGGTGTAGAAAATTAAGATCTATTAAAAAGCACAGAGATGACAGCGGTAGAACATATAAAATAAATTTGAAAGAAATTGAATCTATATATTCCATAGTTTCACTCCACCTAGGGCTTGGGCATTCTGTTCATTCCTTAGAGCTGTTCTCAGCAGCTAGAGAGTGCTTATGCTTGGTTAATATGCAAATAGCTAATTTGCATAGAGGAGGCTGTGAAATTGTTAATATATTTTTATAGATTTTTGTTATTGTTATATGGCACATGCAAGCAATGCACTTCTACAACATCAAATTAGGGCAAAACCTTAGTTGTATTATGTTAACTGCATAGAAGTACTTCTTGTAAGACAACCACTGTAGCAAACACAGAAGAAGATCTCTGCTCCAAAAGTTGCCATTCCAGAAGTCAATGGGATTGGCACCAGGGGTGTGAATACTTGCTTGGACTGCACCTGGGATTTCAGAATGGCTTATTTTAGCAAAAAGTTTTATTCAGAAGTTCCTGTATTCAGAAGACACCTACATAACTCAAGAGATACACAGAGTAGGCTTTTTGTTTTGGTAAATCATAGCTAGTCATCGGCTGGTCAGTAAGTAGAATCAAACTATTGTCTTGCCAGCAGTTTGAGGGCATGAACAATAAATGATTTAGTAATAGTATAGTATACTATTTTAGTTTATAAAACTGAAATAGTTTTATAGTTTTAGGTTTATAGTTATAACCTACTTTTGCAGTTTATATAGTGCATGACACAACACAGTGAGTGAGAGTTTCACATTTGATAATACCAAAATCTAATGAAGAAAATAATTATGCTCCAATGGTCTGCTTGTTTTTTGTAAAGTGGAAGGTACACTGTAATATTTTTCATGGGGGTGAGTTGATGCCTGCTTCTTAATAGAAGATGGTAGTTTTGTTGTCCTGATATATTGGTTTTATTTGGTTTAAAATGAAGGTGTTTGGTTTTAAGAATAGTTACAGCCAAAGTTGTGCAGGTGTGAACAGTGGAATAGGAATTGCTAATGCAGCTTTTAGATGTCTCTTTTCCTCTGCCCCTTTATTCAGACTTACATGGATGCATTGCCCAAGTAAAGTGGTTTGTTCAAAGGTCTAGCAATGTTCATGTGTGTGCTATTTCTATGCATCCTTCCTCCCATCCAGCAGACTATCCAGTAGATATGCAGGAGAAACAAAGTATTGCCAATACTTAGTTATGATAGTGCCTTTACTGACAATACAGGCAATATTATGACCAGATCTTCGGGGTTTTTACTAAGTTTTTCGTTTCATATGGCCTGGTCTTCATCTTTCATCTTTAAATCATGTTCTTATCATCACAACCAAGCATTATGGCTCAAGTGTAGCCTAGAGTTCGTTGTTGTAATGAGCCTGAGCTGTTACTTGAGTCATTATAGTGTAGCAGTCAAGACTTCTATGATCACTAGTACAGATTTGAAACAAATCCTGGGCCATGGGCAATATATTGTCATGCTGTATATTGCCAATACTGTGATTTCATAGGTTCAAAAAATAGCAGTTTGAAAGGGACCTCCGGGATCATCTGGTCCAACCTTCAATTGGCAAGAGCATGGTCTAGAGAAGATGTCTCAGCACCCTGTCCAACCAAATCTTAAAACTGTCCAGTGTTGGGAAATCTACCACTTCCCTGGGCAGATTATTCCAATGGCTGATTGTTCTCAATGTGAAAAATTTTTCTCTTGCGTCCAACTGGAATTTCCCCAGGAGTAACCTGTACTCACTAGCCCTCACATTATTTATGTTACTCTTTAAAAAGGGTGTCTCCATCTTTAAATACTCCACTCTTTAAATACTGGAACACAGTGATAAAGTCTTCCCTAAGCCTTCTCTTCTCAAGTGTGAACAAACCCAGTTTTCGCAGATAGCCGTATGGAAAGGCTTCCCAGGCCTTGGATCATCTTTGTAACCCTTCCCTTGACCCCCTCCAGACTGTCCACATCTCTTTTGTATAGCAGGGACCAAAACTGAGTGCTGAATTCCAGGTGTAGCCTGACAAGCACTGATTACGATAATTGCTTATATCTGCTGGTGATGTCCTTGCTGATGCAACCCAGCATCCTCTTGGCTTTATTTTTTTATTGCCACAGCAGCACACTGTTCATTCATATTGAGCTCATGGTCGACCAGAACACCAAGGTCCCTGAGGTGCTCCCCAGCCAGGCAGATCACAGTCTGTCCTCACTCCTTGATTATGTTTTCCCAGATACATTTCCTAGGTGCAGAGTTTTAAGCTTACTAGGTGTTAATACTCATATAATATTTGTGAAACTAGACTTCTGTTCAACCAAGTATGGGAAACGTGGTTCTCTGCAGCATCGTGCTGTGGTATTCGCATGGCACTTTGGCACAGAGCAGTGGGAGGGCTGTAAGCAGCTTCCACATTCACTCAGCTGCCTTTTCTCCTGCCCGGTAAAAGAGGAAGGACAGAGCTGAGCTCCTGTGCTTGAGAAGTCTGGGAATGGGTGAGGGAGAGGGTTGAGCTAGGTAGCCTGACTTCCAATGGAGTTGGGAGAAAGAGGAGAATTTTTAGCTCTACCACTACTGTGAACTGCAGGTGCTGTGCAGGTGAGCAGTATGGTTCTGGCCCTTGGCAAAATCAGAGCAGTTGGAAAGAGGAGGGCTAGAAATGAGAAGGAAATCCTGGATTAGACCCAAGGTCCCTTGAAATCGTAATGGATCCTTGTCCTGTATACTTAGTGATTTCATGGTGCTGGGTAGTATCATGATTCTGTGTTGGGTCAGCTATCAACATTGTGGTAGTGCTGTTGCCTACAGTAAACCCTGCTGACAGGCAGGTATTACCCAAGCTTTGCACCTATGCAGATGAGAACAGATGTGGTGAGTGTGGCCAAACACTCTGGTGGAGTTTAAATCGGTAGTGTCCTACTTCAGTCTTACAAGATGGCTAAATATAGGTACACACATACATACCTACAGAGCTTTTATTTCACATGGTGTGTAAGTCTAAAGCATATGAGTGTAATGCTTTTGTGTCAGTTTACTGATGTCCTTTGGTTTTGGACTGAAAGCCCACGGTGAGGTTTCAGAGTGGCAGCCTTCCCACCCGCTTGGAGGGTGTGAAGTAGAGTTTGTTTATGCTACTACTGAGCTGAGAATGAGCTGGGGTCCTGTGCTTGTGTCTGTCCTCTTACTTATATCTGGACAGTCTGGTGTTCAGCTGAGCTACAGAAATGGGTTTTTTTACCAGTTGTTAGATAGTAAAAGCAAACAAAAGTATTTTTCATTTGCTATTATGAACCATGGTATTTGTCTGAAGCAATAGTGAAAACAGGTTTTTTTGTTCCAGTTGAACAATGCCTATCTGTTTTTAGTCTTGACATATGGGGTATACCTAGGTGAGTGTGCTTGTGGATGAATGAACTAAATCCTTATAGACAGCTATTATCATTTAAAAGCATCTCTATTTACCTTGTGGAGATGTGACTGATTTTACAAGGTACTGTGTGTTTCCTGGGAAGAATGCTCCCAGCTCTTGGGGGAGATGCTCAGCATGTCTGTGGAGGTCTGTGGTCTTTAAGATGGGGCACTTGACCAAGATAAAAGTTAAGATGACATTAAAAAGCAAGGAACAGAATTTTCAGTAGTATCACTTGTATGATAGAATCTAGAGACTCAAGCAGCATGTTAGATAATCATCCCAGGGGCTGTTGTGAAGTCTTCTTAGCTGTATATTTACAGTCCAGATATACAAAATACAGTGAAGGAAGTACTTTGATTCCAAAATGGAGAAATGAGCGACGAAAGGAATAAACTACTTCTATCACATTTTAACCAGACTGGTACAGCTGGAAATCAAACCCAAGAACACAGAAAGAACACAGTGCTGCTGAGTTCCATATTATTTTTTCTGCTCCTGGTTGCTATGCCAAGTTTCACTCCAAGATATTAGAGCCTAAAACATAATTGAAAACACTTTATTTCATGAGAATTTCCTTTTACATTTTTTTCCTCCCATAGCCCAATTAATATTGACTAGTTTCACTTTTGATTTTAGCAATTTCTACACAATCACACATTGGTTCCTGTTCTGTACTACAAGACAGCAGTGTTGTTTTGCTATGAACATTGTAAAGAGAGGCACATCTCTTCTTAACAAAAACTTTTTCTACTATTTGACAGTCTTCCTGTTATCTCTGTAGTTAAAGGTCATGTTATGTTATAGAACCTACCAGTGACCAGTGGCTCCTTTTTAAGGTCCATTAAGACCATCTTAGGATCATACCTGGAAGAATAATTCTGCTGCCAAATAAGAGTATGTCTGTAGTATGCAGATGAATTGGATGCAATATTCCTGAAGGAGGCTATCATATAAACCTCTCAGCTGTTCAGACTTCCGACAGATTTCTGCAGATGAGAGTTTACCAAAGATACTTTCTGTGTAGAGCTTATTTGAGTTTGTTTTTTTTTTAATTGTTCATGGCTTTTATCAACATTTGCCATGATGAGCACTGCATTTAGGGTGGAGCTGACTTGACAGGAGCAAGTTTGTTTCTCTGATGATTTGGTCTAGATTTCTCATGTAAGATGGATTTTAATAGCCTGTTAGCAAGCTTCTGTGAGTTTTGCTCCTGGCTCTCCAAAATTCTGAAATTAAAATGTCATTTAAAGTCTGCTTTTAATTCAAGTCCTTCTGCCGAAGTACGCCGAAGTACTTTGTGTAAGGAAGCAAACAGAACCCCCGACTCCCCGCGTCTCTTGCGCTCCGTTCTCGGCAATATCCCAGGTTCTCTGCAATATCCCAGGTTCTCGGCAATATCCCCGGTTTTAGGGCGTGCGATGTGGCGGGGCCGGGAGCGGCTGCAGTGGCGCGGCGGGGCCGGCAGAGGGCGCGGCGGGCGGCGGGAGCTCCGCGCCGGGGCCGCTCCCAGCGGGAATTCCCCCGCGGCAGGAGCCGCGCTCAGAGCCGCGTCTGTTGGCAGCAGCGCCCGGGCCGCCTTGAGCCCGGAGCAGATCTCAACCTCACCCCTACTCACCCATCTTTATTTGTGTCACCTCATGTAGAAGAAAACAAAACAAAAAAAAAACCCTTTAACTTTTTTGGGACGGGGAGGGTGGATGGTTTTCAGTTCCCATTTGATTTGTTAGAAAGCACATCTGCGCCCTGACCATGCTGAGTCCTGAGCTTGGTCTATCATGTACCTATGTGTGCCACACTTCCATAGCACTTTGGAACAAAACAAAGCGTTACATTGTGAATCCAAATCTGGGAGTGAGATTGCCAGAGGTATTCAGTTTTTGTATTTGCTGTTTTTTTTAATACCAGTATAAGTATTGAATTCTCTCGGGCCTTTTCTTTTGGGTTTCTGGACTAAATCTTACTATGTGTTTATTCATCAGCTAAGCCTGCAGTTTACAGATGGGTTCATCAATGCTCCTGAATCGAAACAGTAGGCTCCAATTCTCCACTAATCTTGTCTTCACAGCAGGACATGGCACTACAGGCAAGAGCTGCTGCTTTAAGGCACTTACACATCCAACTATGACTTGTGTTAGAAAAAGTGACTTTCTGTCACCAAGAGAAAACTCATAAGTGTGGGACCTCCTTGTGAATCAGCTTCTTTCTATTATACACACATTTAACCAGTTTATTCCATCTCATCCACCCCCTTTAAATTCTGCCTACAACAGGGACCTTTGCTGGTTCAGATCTCTAACCAGATAAAATTTGCTTTTCTTTTCTTACATGGCACTATGAGTAACAGAGAACCTGTCTCTTTTTGCGTGCATTCACTGACGCAGAATCACGGCATAGAAGTCCTGCAGTGAAATATGCATTTTTTTGATTGCCAGTCTGCAGTAGAGGCACCCATCTCTGCACTTCAAGTCATACCACACCATCACATCCTTGTATCTCCTATGCCCCACACAGGACCAGGGCCAATGGAATGTCTTGTTCTCTCAGCTTCTCAGTATGTGAAATGGAGGTGCTAAAACATCAGCCTCCTTTGACTCAGAGGAATACCTAATCGATATCTAATAAATACTTTTAGAGAGATTGGAAGGTGTATGGGAGGCCTCTATATAAAAAGAAATTAATGAATAAATCATACCATTAGCCAAGCCCTCAAAGTGTTTTGGCCATCAGCAGAAATCCTTGCAAAACTGGTATGGAAGTGTGCCAGCTCTGATGCACAGCCTGGGCTTATATGTACCAGGATGATGATGAAAAAATAAGTAATTTGTTACACACCCATATATACAAATAAAGAGACTCACCACAGGTGAATTGTTGAGCCAGTTTTTGCAAGGCTGGCTGTGCAGTATAATTGGTGGAAAGATATCTCGAGTTTTGCATGGTGTAATTCTTCTTGCTTTGTTTTTCTGGCCACTGGGGAGCCAGCCTTCTGTATGTCATGGCTGCCAGGGCTGTGGTAACCTTTCCTTCAAATAATGCACCGCTCTTGCTGGCTCTTGTTACATGTGGTAAGCTGCAAATTCTTAGACTAATTCAGCTCAGTGACTGTAAGTAAATGTGTATTTTCCCCCAAATGGAATTTCATGATTTTGCAGTTATGGAAGTAAAACACTTATTTCTAGAAAAGCAGAAAATATTCTATAAATAGTCCAGTCAAGAAAACAAAAACATTGTTTCTGCTGTTTAATTCCACAGTCATGCTGGTAGAATTTACAGGATTAACTTTGTGTAAATAGTTTCTCTTTCATTTGTAAGATCTGGAACAGGTCACTACATGTATTTTATATTCAAAGTTTTACCAGGAGAACTCTGTTGTTTAGCTAAGATGGCTTGTATGAATCACCCAGGATTACTCCTGGTTCTTGTGTGGCTGAGCCAGTTTGCATAATTAGGAGAGAGATGCATGAAAAAGCTACTGGGCTTTGGAACCCCTCTGGGTTTTGATCAAAAGCCCACTGAAGCCAAACCCTTTGGCTCTAGTCATCAGGCTAAGGCAGCAGTAGCAACTGAACAAGATAAGGCAATTTTGGAAGCTGTAAAATCTAGTTTTCTGAGTTCTCTGGATCTTATCACTGGGAATGGAACATAGGATGCATGTGTAGCGTCCCACAGACACAAGGCTGTTGTAATTCCAGAAACAGCGCAGCCACTTAAAAGTATTTGTTTTCCACCAGTGTGTCATCTTAGCTGTATTTAGTATATTTGTGAAAATAGGGTTATGATTACTTTGGAGGCAGGCTGTTCTGAAAAATGTTCTGGTTATTACAGTGGGACATTAAATGGAAGGAATGAATTGTGCTGTTGGTCTCCTCGGAACCTCTACAGTGTGACTGCAGGTCATCTCTTGGGGCTTGATCTGCGAGACATGATGGGGAGGGCTCAGGCAGCTGAGGTGGCGTTGGCTTGAAATACCTGGGCTGCTTGAGAGAGAGCTTCCTTGTGCTGCCACCACCCTCTCTGAGCTATCCAGCCCATTGTTTTGCTCTTTCACTGTTCTTGGCTACTGTGTTTGACCTACATCTGGCTGCTAGGACACATCTTTGGGAAAAGGTTATTCAGCATGTGCCTCTGAAGCTGCCAAGGCCTGACTGACAGTGCTGTGTCTCTAGGAGACACATTATTCCTCCTGGAGAGATAGAACGCTGTGGGATTTATCCCTCTGCTATGAAGTTAACATTTATGCATGTAAGTAACCACCAGGATTATTTATTAATGAAATAAACAGATTTTACCTTAAAATGAAGGGAGAGTGAAGGTAAACTCAAAGCTTACCAGACAAAAGGGCTATGGCAACCACTGGGGAAGCACCAGGGGATGGTGCCTGGGGAAATGCTGGAACCTGTCAGATCCTTTTCCCTCAAGGCACAAATCACCAGCTCTCCAGCATGGGGAGGGGCAGACAGGAGGCTGTGTGCCCTGTAGGAGTCTTAAGAGCTAGAACTGAACCTGAACAGCTTTCCTGGCAAGCCTACTGCCCCTTTTATAAGTATAGCCAGTAAAAATGGCTGAAAAAGGATAAGCCATATCGTCAAAAGGGTTTTTGTGGTGCACAGGTACTGTTCAGATGCAAGTACTGGACACAAAATCCTAGGAAATGGATATTTTTAATCTAATTCTTTGCATGTATTTTGTGTGTTCATAGGAGTAGTTCTGGGAATTCTCTGGTAATCACATGAAAAAGGGTTTATAGGATCAAGTCCCCAGGGCTTAGTCTCATAAGATGCCAAGCTGTCTAACCCCAGCAAAGGAAAGCCACCTGAGTTTGGGCTTTAAGAACATGAGTGATCTTTTAGTAATTAATGGGGCTTGTCACATGCTTAAAGTTAAATCTACATGTAAAGTATTGGGTTGGACCAGACTTGCAGGTTTGGCACTCAGCATCCTGCACAGAGCCCAGTGAAGTCACTGGCCTACTAGGTCAACAGTATGGTAGCACATATGTGCTGCTTTATAGAAGAAAATGTTAACAAAACCCAGCAAAGATATTATGGAATATAATTACATAAAATATGGTTTTAAAAACCCTATTTATTAAATTTTATTGTTCTCCTGACACACAGCAAATTAAATTGATTTGTAGCATGAAATATTCTAATATTTATAGAAGATTTTATTTTCCGGTGCATAATATAATGGAATGAGCAATAAATGTTAATATAATGTTCAGTTTCAACTCTTACAAGCCAAGTTTTATAGAATTGCTGAGAGTAGAATGGAGAGAGTATGATGACTTCCCCTCCCACATACCTGTACCTCCTACCAACCTTCCCTGATGGAAATTTCCATTCTGCATTCCCATTCTCTGTAGTAAACATTTTACAGCCTCATAATCATCTCATAGCAGAGAGATATTAAGTATATTTTTACTAGATTATGATTAATTTCCATATTCCCTGCATTTTGCATTTGATTGACTAATAGTTTATTACAGGTGTTTTATTCTTCAGGATTCTGACACCATTGGTGCTTGCTGTAGCATCCCTTCCTAGTAATGAACTCCACTGGTGAAGGAGGTTTGATACAATCCATTGGAATAGGTAGATGTGGCTTTTATGTGCAATGTCTTCTAGGCAAGAGATCTCATTTAGGATGCACTTGGAGCGTGGTTCCCCTTAAACAAACCAGGTCATTTAGGCCTGGGACTTTAGCTGTTGTAGGTAAGTAGTTCTGATAAAGACAACAGTGATTTCCATCAGCTAAAGCTATGGTTCTTAATGTAGGAAAAAGGATGAAAACTTTACCCCTCTTGATGGAAATGATGTGCTTCTGAATGCATGTGATTGCCCTTGGCAAGTATGGGATTTAATGTCTTAGGAAAACATATGGTCATGATTAATATCCTATGCATGTCCTAAGGAGCTGTAGTGTGAATCCTTTTGTTGCTGGCCTAAAATAAACAGCATTGCATGATGGGAACAAAAGACAAATTTTCAAAGCGGGCTCAGATAGAGTGCTAAAACTACATGTAAACACTTGAAGCAAGTGACTCATTTTTGAGAGATGGTGAATGCTTTTATCTTCTCATGATTTCCTTGGTGCAACGTCTGTAAATGACACAGTTACAGATATGTGCTACTCTGACAAAGTGAGCTTCGTGGTTACAGGAATTTCTGCAGTGATGCTAATTTGTAAATGATGCTATGGATACATCTGCCATGTAATGCTCATTGCCTAAGTGAGGTAGCAGCACGGCAGGAGAACTGGAAACACAGAGGCTGTATCTGTGAGCAGTGCTATAGACCGGGACAGCATCAGCGACAAAGACACTATTAACTAAATAGAAAGGACTCAGGATTATGTGCTTTGTGCCTCTGAAGCTGCTATAGTAGGGCTGGCACTATGCATATACTTACAGTATATTCTTCCAGAGAACTTTCTGTTAATATCTGAGTGGGCAAAATAAAAAATTAACCTATTTCTGCTAAAGATGATGCCCTAAGTACATCTGAACTCTCAGCAAGTGCTACAGATGGAACAAGAGTACATCCAACTTTTTTGTTTTGCCTTTCAATCCTGAATCTTAATTAGTTCCCTACTGCTTTAGTACATGCACAACATTTTAATAGTCATAAGGACTTACTCCAATCCACACTGCTATTTCCACAATTCTCTCCTTCATTCCAGTAATCCTGTCCCCCCTCTCCTCCCCCCCCCCCCGCATTTAGGAATAGTGTAAAGAAAACTAAATAGCCAAGCGTGTAGCTGTAGATTGATGAGGTTGTCACACCATTCTCTTCACCGTTTTCTTCCAACCTGCACTGTGCTCTAATAGATGGATGATTGCCGGGGGAGAGAGAGACTTAGCAAATCCCACAGCCAGATGTTCAGGGATGGACAGAGCGACCTTCTCAAGGAACCCAGAGGAGTATAGCTGTGTCCTTCTGAGGGAGAAGGACAGCCAGGTGCCTCTGGCTGCCTGTGTTTATCTCTCATTTCAAAAGGAGCACAAATGGACTCAGCATGGCTGCAAGGATGGATGTTTTTCAGTGCATCGTGGGAAATGACCAGTCATCCATCTCTTCACTCTGGAGTCTGCCTGCAGCCATCAATCTTGAAGCCCAGCATGGCAGCTCCTTTTGGCTTAGTTTGGCTCAATGTTAGATGAACAAAAGGAAATGAAAGCTGAGCAGAAGGAAAGGAGAGAAGAGCAGCTATTCTCTATTTCACTTTGTTTTCCCCTTGCATGGCTCTCTCCCTCTCTTCTCCATTATCATCTATTTTCACTGTATTTTGTAAGGTGTGGAAATGTGTATTTTCAGGGTTTGGGAGTTTACAGTGTTTCTCTGTTAGCAGTGAGAAGAAAGGAGAGGGATATTGAAAAGACATAATTCAAGGCCCAGAGATTCCATTTTTCAGACTTTTCTGTGGCAGTTTCAGAACAAGCATGCCCTAGTTAGCTGCAGCAGACAGGGTGAAGGAATATAGTACCTTCCCTCCATCTTACTGTTTTTCTTCCTTTTTTCCCCCGATTCCTTTGTCACTGCCACATTAGTGTTTTCAGGCATGTACTTCATCTCTAGATTCCTGCTCTAGTCAAAAAGCCATCAACAGAGCCACATGATGGGACTTTCTGGATACAGGTGTGTACTGATGCCCAGTGCCATGATGGCAGCTCCTGCTGCCAAGCTCGCTTGGGTCAAGCTTTCTTCATAACAGCACTGGGCTGTGCAGGCTTTGCATGAGCTGCCTGCCCTCATCCAGCACCCGTGGCTCCTACTGTGAAACCAGAGATCTTGGCAATATCTTCATTGGTATGCAGCCCATCAGAAGAAAACACATTCAGACATGTCTGTTTGCACACCTAGCACTGAATTAACTGATTTCAGCACTGAACTCAGATGGGCCACTTTTTGCCTGAAATACTCAGATTTGATGTACTTTGAGCCAGGTTGAAAGGAAAAAAAGGTGTGTGAATACACTGCCTGGACTCCCCTAGCTAGGGTCTGCTTTTTTCCCCACAGTGAGCTGTAATGTTTCTTACACTGTTTTCCCCTAATATCCTTGCCTCTGGATATCACAACAGTTCACGTTTGGTTTATTCTGTAGAAGGCTTATGTAGAGATAGCATTGTTCCCCTTAGCACTGCCCCATGTGGTGTTTGATTGATGGATTTAAAAAAATGTGTGATTGCATTTACCTTTTAATTTTCCTGGTTGATCACAATGATCTAAGTATCAGGCCTGACAGAGCCAGGCTTCCATGCAGAACTGTGGTAGGAGATTTCTCTCTCCCAGTTTTTACTGTAGGCAAAGAACTGAGCTCTCCCAGGCATACAGAAAGACCAACTAAGCACTGAGGCAGAGCAAGGGAATTCTGTAAATACTGGACATAGAGATCTCTGAGAAATCTTTACCTGCTTTCAACCCAAATGTGCCATCTGGAGTGAACAGACTTATGCCAAGATGGGGAAAATTTATACCGTCATGGGCTTAAGAGCTGCTTTGCAGTATCTGCTGAGGTTTTTTTGTTTTGGTTTTTTTTTTTTTCCCTTCCTTCTTACCATAAACTTAAAGCATAAACCCTCAAGGAAAACATTTGTTTGGTGAAAACCAGTTTCTCCTCTCCCACACCTTGCATGAGCAGGCTTTACAAGTGGGCACAAGACCTTTTTGAGTGGGGATATTCAGGGAATTCTTTTGTATTTTCTTTACAAAATGGATGGCGTCCTTTTCCTACCTGTGCATTTAATTGTGCCACTTTTGAATGAATGGTCATATTTTCTTCCACTACCCATATTGCCTCCCTGCAAATTCTGAAAAAGACAAATATTGTTCCCGTTGTCATGAGACAGCCTACCCCAGATGGCACATCTGTGTCTCGGGATGCCCTCTAGCTGGCCTGTTGGCAGGCGTTCCCGTGGCTTTGAAGGTCACCTTGTTTACACCTTGCCTTTTCCCCCTCCCTATTCAGAGGCTTGCTGAGCCTGCAGGCTGGGCTTCACCATCTGCATTTTCTCTGGTGCCATTAATCTTCCTGTTTACCATTCTGTTATTAATTCTAGAGTTCACCTTTTTGTCTAAACCCTTTATAGGCCTCTTGAAATTGCTTGCCTTTTTGTGGCAAGAGATCTGAGCGTCTCAAGAGATAATTTGCTTTGTTCTTTCCCATTTCTGAAAGGCTACCTACTAGCATCTCATGCCATTTTTCTATTACAAGTCTTCCTTCTTATAATAACATTTTTCACTTATATAGCTTCATCTGTCAGATGTATCTTTACATAGGAGTAACTATTATCTTTGTCCTTTGGAATTTGTGAATTGGCCACTGAAATCTGGTATCTGTGGAAATAGTCCTACTTTTTCAGTGTTTTTCTTGGCTGGAAAGAAAATGTGCTCATATCTGTCTTTGTGAGAGCCTGTAAGACCACCTTGCATTTTTGGTGCATTTTATTTGAATGCCTAAATGCCTATGAATATTAAACAAGCCTTACCAAACCCCAGAGGATAGGTGAAGACTATCTCCATTTGACAGATGATGGAAAAGCAGAGAGTGCCTCTGTTAGAATTTGGCTCAGCATCACTTGGTGGGACAGCAGAGATGCCAAAGGCAGCATCTGGGCTGGTTGCTCCATATCCCATCCTAAAATCCCTGCACTTTGCTGTGGCCTTGCTCTTCTCCACTGGTGTATGCGGTTCAGTACTCATTCAGGGGTGCCTGGCGTGGCTGAGCCTCAGGCAGGG